AATATTTAATAGTATTTGGGTACTATTCCGTTATGATAAAGTTTAGTAAGTGTAACTATTATAATAACTTAAATGTCGTATTGTCTTATTTTTATTGTTGTACAATTTTTCTTTGATAATCGTACACATGTCCATAATGGGACGTCAATTCTAATTCTAACAGAATTTGAGAACTTTAAATCGGTTATGTATATTTATTTAATATTTAAATATTGGATTGATGTTATTTATTAATAATATAGATTTTATTATTTTAATTGGATTTAATACTTACAAAAATTAACAATACTTTTAAAACAAATTCATTAGTTATAAATATATTATAACAAACTTAAAAACTTTTTTTTATTTGATAACATTCATATTGTTTATATAAGTTTTCAATTATAAGTAAATAAAACAATATATTAAAAAAATAATAGAATAATAATTCATATAAATTTTATAAATATTATTCAATATACAGTAGTATTCAAAATATTTTGAAAATTTTTTTAATATATCTAACTTAATAAAACTTATTTAAATCAAATAAAATTTAATTATAAATATTTGAACATTATAAAATTACTTTAATTTATAATTAGTTTATAGATTATATTATAATTTTTTTTAATAAATATTTTTTTAAATAAAAAATTTTATATATTATATATTTATTTTATAACTTGAGTTTCATAAAATTCAACTTTTTTATATATGTTTTTATATATTCTTTGTAATAAATAAGACAAAAATGGCAGCATACCAAATGACACTATTTTGACTAATGATAATTAAACAAAAATTATATATAATTTATAATTGATATAATAAATTTAAGATTATATAATTGTTTTATTGATTTTGTATTATATACAATATATATATACTATATATCATTAAAGTTTAATAGACTATACAAACTGTTTAATTACAGATTATAAAAAAATGAATAATTAATTAATTAAAAAATTTTATTAGTTAATTTACTGTAAATATTAAAATGTAAATAATTTAATTATAAGGATAATTATTTTTGAAAAATTTTTGAGTGATCCTAAAGTTTGCATTATACATGTAATGTTTAAAAATAGGGTGCGAAAAAATCATATTCAATCATGAATATAAATAATAGAATAATAATTAATTAAAGCTATTTAAAATTACTATAAAGTTGACTAAATCTGTGTAATCTAATTTTATTAAATCACAATAATATTGGATATTATCATTAAATTAACACTTGAATATAATTTCATCGGTTGTTTATAAGGTATTATACAGTATACGTTATTCAGTATTTGTGTATTAGCAAATAAATTTGACTTCATTGAATTAAAGAAAAGAAAGATTCTTGACATAAATATCTGTTATTACAAGCACTTTTTAGAATAACCTAAGAACAATCATGCTATTGGTACGTCAACTTTAACATTAAGTATCAACGACAGTTCCTCGTTAAGTATTTCATCTAACGTTGTGCTATCTCTATTGTAAACCCATCTTTTTTTTTGTGGATCATAATCATAACGTTTGGGACCACTGATTTTGATTAGGGTAAAATTTAAATAATTTTGTGAAAGTATAAATTCATTAAATTGGACAAAAACAAACCTAATCGGTGAAGATAACCAAATTTGCTTGTTTGGAGGTTGTTTATTAATTACATAAGTGCCTGACACACCGCATTTAAGTGTTAAAACACCGGCCTGATTATCATTAATGTAATCGGATATCATATTAAAAAAATACTAAGACGAGAACTCATCACATAATTCTATAATTAGTGTTAAAAAAAATAAAAATAAATGGAATATAACTTTTCAAGTCTTACCGAATATTCGACATCATAATCCTCGTTGTCCAAGGTGTCACCTAAATTTTCAAAATACTCCAGCAAATGTTCCATCGTCGTCTCCGAGAGTTGGTGATATGTGGAATCCGAGAGCTCGCTGTTGAGTACACAGAAATGAACTATTAATTTCAATAAAATATGCGCGATAAATCATCACAACTGACCTGTTATATTGAGCGTTTTGTGTTGGTTCGCCCACAGAAGTATACAAACGAAATGGTTGAAATTCTGCTCCTTGGTAACGAGATCGGAAATTAAAAGAGGCACCTACACCTTGAATTATAGGAAGATATTTGGCCCGCGCGTTCACAAAACGCGAGCCAAAACGTGGTAGCAGGATTAACTCATGGAAATTAACTTTAAGGAAAGGAAACAAACGAGGTAACATTGTAAAATACAAAAATAAAGAATTTGTGCTTATTTATTGGTCGGATATAATTTTCTGATTATCATTATTTCACCTGACTTTGAGGTGTTTATTGTGCACTACACTTCATTTCCCAACACAATGGACGTTGACGAAATATCAACAATAACTATTAACACAGACTATGCCAAAAAGTATGAAGAAAGAAAAAGAAATGAAGAGTTGTCAAAACGTATGCAGAAGTATACTATTTTATGTGTTTTTTAAGATCGATTCATTTTTTTTTTTTTCCTGTGATACAGTTAAAGAAAAATATGGAGATGTTAATTTTGATTCTAGCGAAGACGAAGAGTCAACTTCAGAAGAGGAGGATGAGTTCGGCGAGTTAATAACTCCCGAAGTAGACGCACAAATCATGAAGACGATTGCAGCTATAAGATCTAAAGACCCAAAATTATATGATTCACAATCAAACTTTTTTGCAGGTAAATAGCCTTTACTCTGCACATTTCGATGGAACATACTAAATAAGTTTAAAATTTAGATGAAGAAGTTCAAAAGGCTCGACAACGTTGGACATATAAAAAGCAAGAGAAGAAGGTTATTTTTTTTTTATTTTCACAATACAAAAATCTATGTGTTATGATGCCATTAATTCTACCATGCTAATTCAGATTTAAAATGAAGATTATTTTTTGATTCTGAACACATCGTATAATTTTGTTATACGTAAAAAAATTTCTTGACATGTAATTAATCTCCTATTTTGTCTTATCAATATTTTAGAGTGAAGGAAAACCCGTGCATTTAAAAGATTATCATCGACAATTACTATTAGAAAATGGCGGTGTAATTGATGAAACAGATAATAAGTCCGAAACAACCATAAACTTGAAAGATCGAAATCGTCAAAATGACGATATGAGTAATGAGGAAAATCAAAAAGTTGATAAACCAGAAAAAAAGAAAGTTTGGCTAACAACACTTGATGAAGAACAAAAGCTTAAAAATGAATTTAATGCCGCTGTTTCTGAATTTGGATTCGCTACGGAAGTAGAAGATAATGATGACTTTCTGGTTCAACGTTCCAAAACAGCTGATG